ATTTCTTGTAACCCCCGGGGGCGCCTTGGTGAATAAATACTCACCAATTCCCTTCTGTGCCCCCGTGATGAACTTATAGGCGGCCACAAGGTCGCCTCTCAACCTTCTCTTGCAGAGGCTGAATAGATCCAGTTTCTCTAGTCTCTCCTCGTAGGGCTTGGTCTGTAGCCCCTTAACCATACGAGTGGCCCTTCTCTGAACCCTCTCCAGGTTATCCGCATCCCTCTTGAAGTGCAGCGCCCAGAATTGCACGCAGTACGACTCATGTTCATCTTGGAGTCTGCTAGGACTCCAAGATCCCTTTCCACTTCCGTGCCACCCAGCAGGTCATTCCCTAGGCTGTAGGTGTGCTGGACATTTTTCCTCCCTAGGTGCAGCACTTTGCATTTCTCCTTGTTCAACTGCATTCTGTTGTTTTGTGCCCACTTGTCCAACCTGTCCAGGTCTGCTTGCAGCTGTTCCCTGCCCTCCAGCGTGTCCACTTCTCCCCATAGCTTTGTGTCATCTGCAAACTTGGACAGAGTACATTTCACTCCCTCGTCCAAGTCACTGATGAAGACATTAAAGAGTATCGGTCCAAGGACCGAGCCCTGTGGGACCCCACTGCCCACACCCTTCCAGGTCGAAGCCGACCCATCCACCACGACTCTCTGGGTGCGACCCTCCAGCCAATTCGCCACCCACCGGACTGTGTAGTCATCCAGGTCACAGCCTCTTAACTTGTTCACCAGTATGGGGTGGGATACCGTATCGAAGGCCTTCCTGAAGTCTAAGTATACGACATCCACCCCTCCTCCTGTGTCCAGGCGTTTCGTAACCTGGTCATAAAAAGAGACTAGATTGGTCAGGCACGATCTGCCTGCCACGAACCCGTGCTGGTTTCCCCTCAGCATAATTTGTCCTGCCGGGCTCTCGCAAAAGTGAGCCTTGATAATTTTTTCAAAGACTTTGCCAAGGATGGAGGTGAGACTGACTGGTCTATAGTTGCCCGGGTCCTCCAGCATGGACATTTCGAAGGAGACTAGGTTGCATTGGAAGTGTCACCTTTGTAGCAACCTCTTCGTATTTTCTTACCAGAGGCCCAAGCTTTTATGGGTTTTCTTGGACCTATGCTTCAACCGCAGTAACTTGACTGAAGCATACAAGTGACCACCTAGAAGTCAAGAGGGGGAACCTCACCCCTTCCTCTCCCCATGCAAAAAGCTGTGTCCTACAAAAACCTTTACAAGGGTGTACTTGAGAAGTACTGTCCCTTCTGTGGAAAAGTCTGTTCGAACTCAGATCGGTCTTCTCCTGACCTCTTTTCTGTCCACTCGTGCACAAACCCTTCCTGCGGTCTTACTGTTTTGCTTTAACCACCACTTTAAACTAACAAATCCATTGTAGATGAGCACGCGCCCCGTCAGCAAAATGATTGCACAGTTAAAGAACGGCACTTATTGATGATTAGTTGTTCTGTTACTTCTTTGCTTTTCCACAAGAGGAATAAATCAAGGTTTTTAGACATAATCAAGTTTGTTTTCTTTCATCAAGCCAAATAGACAGGCCTGTTGGAAATGGCGTGGATCTCTTAAAAACCTGCAAATGAGTGTTGACACCAGTGGATTGTTGTGTTATCCTTGTTACAAAATCACAATGCGGGATGGCTATCTTCTTTAATCAGGCAAATCATTTTTTGATAAATCTGTATTTCAGCTGTATGGAGGCAGGCAGGAAATAACTCCCGAGTTAGACGGTGTAATGGTTTTGGTGGTGTAGGTTGTAGCCGTGTTGGTCTAAGGACATGGGCAGACAAGGTTCTTTGGGTAAATGTGATATCTTTTATTAGACCGACTTGTAATGATTTTGGTGGGTTTTCAGGCAGTGTTAGGCGTATGAACTGTAAGTAAGTGCCCCTCCTTTTCTCAGTCCTATTGGCAGGCGTGGGGAGGGTCAGTGGGCCAAAAGAGATCCTCCATCACAGTGTTCACTAATGAGTTAGTAATGATGATGATTCTGGTGCTCAAACAATTGACGACTTGAGGAACTGGACTAGACGTTTCGTTGTGCTGGGCAAAAGGGGTGCTGTCCTCACAGCACCAACAATTGCCTAACACAGCGTGGCACCCAGGTCCCACGCAGGTTGTATTCGGTCGTCACAAAAAAAGAGAAAGAAAAGGTTAGTCTGAACTGGACTCCTGTTGAAGGAACAATTCGATGGCGCCATTCAGAAGGCAAAGGAGCCAGGCATCCAGTAAGATGGCTCGAGATGTGGTGTGCTTGAAGTTCACCGTGAAACGCCTTCCTGCGACGGCTTTGGATTTTAATGCCATGTGCTTGCTAGGTGTTGTTTCTAAACGGGCTGCGAAGCACGCCCATTGCTGGGGGCTCAGCCAGGCGGGGCGAGAGGAGGGGAGAAGCGGTCAGCAGCACCGGAGAGACGGCGTGTTCCTAAACAAATGGCCCCGTGGGTGCTTTAACCTTGCCAGCTCCCTCTAATCACCGCAGCTCCCACGAAGGAGGGCAGGCTTCTGCAAGTTTGTGAATAAGCAACCGTGGATGTTCAGCTGCAAGGACGCTGTTTGCAGAATGTGTTTTGTTGTTTTATTTTGGCAGGCTTCATCTAGTTTCGTGCTCGCTCGTAGGCAGAATTTTTAGCACATTTTATTTCACGTTTAAAGCAACCAAGGCATGTTAATACAAGGCCTCGCTTTAGCAATTTTGCTGCCAGCTCCTGGATGAGAAGGGCTAGGTTTGGAGTGGGAAGGACCAGGTTTGTGGATTAGCAACCCAAGCTCTGGCCAGGGCAGACTCTTCTCCCCCGTCACGAGCCTGCTGAGGTTTGTGCCATGGGAGGAATGGATTCTCAGCTGGCGCGAGTCAGCGTGGCCTCGGAGCAGCCACACCAGCTGAAAGTCTCATCCAAGGTCTGTGTGTGTGCGGGAATGAGATGTTTACTTGCTCACGTGCAGCTGGCTTACTTTTGCAAAAGTATTTACATAAAACAAACCAGACAGCATTGAACTTGCTTATCTGTCTTCCCTTCCCCATCATTTTGGTTTGATTTAAAGCATAAGTTGCAATCGACTGGGTATGCAGACTTCATTTATGCTTGTGCACTGAATATATATATATATATATATAGATATATATAGATATAGATATATATATAGATATAGATATATATATATGCATGCATGCATGCATGCATGCACACATACGCACACAAGGTTCTTTGGGTAAATCCGATATCTTTTATTAGGCCAACTCAAATAGTTGGGAAAATTCATCTTAGCAAGCTTTGGGGCACAACCTACACCCCTGAATATGAAAATGGATGGATGGATGGATGTTCAAGGGTATTTATCTATATCTAGATATAGAGATGTTCAGGGGTATGTATCTATATCCAGCTAGATAGATATTCATATTCAGGGGTGTAGGTTGTTCCCAAAAGCTTGCTAAGAAGAATTTTCCCCACTCTTTTTTTCCAACTACATACACCTGAATATAGATATAGATAGAGAGAGATCAATATAGATATTGATATAGATAGAGATGTATTCAGGAGTGTGTGTGTGTGTGTGTGTGTGTGTATATATATATAATGTAACATAAAGAATACTGTAAGGTGTCCTCCACTAGGCATAAAAATGCTGGCAGGGTGTATGTATAGGTATATAGATAGATGCATCTCTCTGGATGGATGAATGGATGGATGGATGTGTGTATTTATATCTATATTTCTATCTAGATAGCTAGATATCTGTCCATATAGATAGATCCTGCCAGCATTTTCCTGGCTAGTGAAGTTCTTGGTACTATTATGGAGGACACCTTACAGTATCCTTTATGTTATCTTCAGATGTTTTAATAGTTCTTCTCAGAGAAGCAGCCAGAACCCCTTCATTTTTCTTTTCCTTTCTTTTCTTTCTTCGCCAAACGCAGTGGGGGAGGAAGCGATATGTAGACTTGTAGTTGGCTGCCAAAACTCTTTGGTGTGGTGCATCTAGGACTGTGTGGACCCAACAGAGTGAATACAGTGTACAGCTGCCGGGCAAACAGCATGCATCAAGCAACCTTAAACCGGCCCAAATCCATAGGTCCTTTTGAAGCAGCACTAGAGAAAAGATGAGTGATCAGATCAGAGGCCCTTAAACTTTAATAGTTTCTTAAAGGCCTCAGGATGTCCTGATGAGGCATTAGAGGAAGCAATTCAGGAAGAAAGGGACAAATAACTACCTCCGGATCTCGGCTGACCCTTAGGGTTGACTGTATCAGTGTGCTGAAAGGACAAGCCTAGACCTGCAGTGATCCAAGAAGCACTTATTACACTGACTGCTTCCCTGTGAGAGCAGAGCCGGCGTCTTTTGACCCTTATAAATAACAGATGAGTAAATTCCTTGTTTGCTCAGAGGCGACCGTAAACACCAAGTGCTGCTACATGTTTGTGAAATCATTAATTTTTTTTTTCCCCCTCTTGACGGCGGTGGTGATGGGGAAATGAGGAATCATTCTCTCTCGCTCCCTGAGCATGTTTTTCTTTTGTCACTTAATGAATCTTCCCTAATGGAGAAGTCCCACAGAATTTAGCAGGAGGTGAAATCAATAGAGTTCCTTAGATATGAAACAAGGATTACTCTAAAATCCTATAAGATGTAATGGAGAATTACATCCCTTCTGTAAGTTGGAGCGATCCTGCAGCAGAGATAGAGCTGTCCATTAAATGCTATCGAAAGAACCAAAGACTCTCTATAGGAAAGGTTTAATTCTGCAATAGAGTCTATAGAAAACCGGTGACAGATTACTATTAAATTTCTCTAATTCTGCTTTGTTCCCTAATAATCTATAGGAGCTTTTCCTGAGGGCTCAATGGATTGCGGGTGTGTGCCTGTGTGTGCACACGCGTGCAAAACTTAACCGAGGTCCGCCCACCTGTAGATGCTTTGTTGAAAAGAAATCTCTGTTTTTATAACATAAGTGTATCATTAATATTTTTCCTCCTTTCTCTCTGTAAATAGGATTTGGCTTCGTCACTTTTGAAAATGAAGATGTGGTGGAAAAAGTCTGTGAAATTCATTTTCATGAAATCAATAATAAAATGGTAAGTTTTTTTTTCCCATATGCACATCAGCAGTAGAGAGCTCTCTCCATTTATCACAGAAATGTGCTGGGGGAACGTTCTCCATAAAAAAAAAAAAATAATTGTGTTTTTTAGACATACTTTGTCTGATTTTTGATATTCTTGGTGGAGTTGAGCATGGATTTATGAACCTGGATTATTGGGCTCTTACTTTTTCCCCCGGCTCTCAGGTCATACAGGGAGAGTTGGGGACGTGGCAATCACCGCTCCATGTCAGAGCTGTGATCTGCCTAGTCACAGTGTCCTGTCTGGACCTAGGTGGGGTTTAGAGGATAGAGCGCTAACCAGGAATAGCAATAGGGTGGCATGGGTGTAAGGCAGAAATAATTTGGCTCTACGGGTTCAAGATGACCCGAACCAGGCTACTCAGGCTTAGTTTTTTGTTTTTGATGGGTCTGGCTCCTGCGTTCCCCTGCCGGCCCTGTGTAATCCCGTTCTCCTGGGAAACACGAGGGAGCCCCTTCGTATGGGTGCTCCGAGGGCTCGTCTCCCCCCAGGAAAACCTGTGAAATCATCCTTGCAGGACTGCAGCTCTTCTGGCCGCCCTCCTGCGCAGGTGAGCCCGAAGGCTGCCTTATTCTGTCGTTGTCCGCCAGAGGGAGCCAAGAAAAGTCACGGGACTCTGTTGTTTGACAGCTCTCCTGCATCAGAGCCCCCTTTGAAAAAGCCTCAAGCTTCATCTGCCCCAATCTGAAAACAAGACTTTTTGTGAAGCTTCATCCAAACTCTGGTCTTCTCCTGGGGAGCAGGTTGCTCTCCTAGTAAAGCCACTGAAACAGATGAAAAAGAGCATTTGTATTTCAATCGATGCAATAACTTTGATATTTTGAGTTTAAAATATTCTTTTTTTTTTCCCTTTGTCAAAACAGCCCTTGCTTCTCAAACATGTATTCAGATATGCATTGTATATTGGTCTGATATGTGTTCACAGACTTTAAATTCAATAATAGAGCTTTTAGTGTGGATAAGATCAAAGCAATCTCCTTAGCATATGCTAGAGGCCTGATTCAATATTTGACTTGCTAATTTTTCCCTGGGCACTGAAATAATATTCTTCATATTGTTCCTCGCTGCAATATGCATCTGAAATGAAAGTAACGGTTCCTTTGCATACTATATGTTGAGATGTCAAGACCGGACTTGAAAGGTGGGGGCGACACAAAGAATTGCTCTATTTTGCTCTGGTGACTCTCTCTAGCTTAGACTCTTTCCTAAATAAGCCACTCATCCAGCTAGAGTTTCCTCTTTCAGCCAACTGCTGCGTAACCCTATAGCCACCAATGATGACATGTGGGATGAAACGGGTATCGATGGGAACCGTCAAAAATAAGTAAATAATAGCCCACCGCTCATTCAGTGTGTGCAATTATTAAATGCTGTTCATCTGATACGTCACTTGATTAACTTTTTCTTTTTTTTTTTTTTTTTTTTTTAAAACAAGAGCTACGACTGACCATAATTAAAAAAGAATTAAAAGGGTATACGATGTGCCAGTGAGGAAGAAAAGAAAAATTACCGTCCCAACAGCAGGCATTTCCTTCTCTCTCTCTGTTGATGTATCAGAGAGAACTCTAGTTATTTCATGCAGTGTTTTGGGGTTTTTTTGTAGATTCAGGACCAGGATTCTTAGATTCAGAAGGCTCTTAGTTGTTGTAAATTAATGTTGGTCCTTTGACTTCAGCGCTGGCCCTCAGTGAGCTACAGAGCGTAATTCAGATTTGCATGTAAAAAAAAAAAAAGGAGAAAATTGTGGGGTGAAGGCTGATTTAATTGCAGTGATGTCATATTTAGCAGGAGCAACTGAGGGAGCGGCAGCCGGAGACACCGTGGCTTGGTGTGTTTGCCGTAGAAATGGCATGTCTGCCTGAAGAAGTTCAAACAGACACGTGTATGTGTGTGTCTGCGCGTTGTGTATCTAGTTGAGATTTAATTGCAGACTTCAACTCCCTGCAGGAGGTTGCAAAGAGGACTGTTCTCAGTGGGGGCAGGTGACAACGTGGAGCAACGGGCTCAAGTTGCAGCAAGGCAAGTTTAAGTTAGATACTAGGAAGAATTTTCTCACTAGGAGGGTAGTAAAACACTGGGACAGGTTACCCAGAGAGGTGGTGGACTCTCCATCCTTGGAGGTTTTTAAGACCTGGATAGACAAAGCCTGGGCTGGGCTGAGGTAGTTGGGGCTGGTCCTGCTTGGAGCAGGGGTTTGGACTAGATGTGACCTCCTGAGGTCCCTTCCAACCCTCGTTTTCTACATTTCTAAAGCCAACGCAGGGCATTTTTGAAAATTTCACATCCATGGTAGAACATTTCCTGCAAACGTTTGTCTTTCTAATGTGCCCTAACAGCAAGTGCAGCTCCTTCCTTCACTAAAGCCAGCTTTCCAGTTCAACAATGACTGGCTTAACTGCTTCTCCACTCCAGCGTGGTTCAGAGTCCGATTCCTCCCCTTAAGGCTACTCAAAACTTCCTCCAACTTTTTTAGTGCTGCTGGACTAGGGACCACTCCTGTGCTGAATTTGCCTTTTTAATGGGCCTGTAACTCTCTCTCAGCCTAATACATGCTCCTCACTTCGGGGCCAAAGCAGAACTGCCCAAAGAAACGGGCACTGACACGCAGACTAGCCAACTTCTTGTGATGGAGGGTGAGAAGTGAGTCCGTGCTTATTGGACTTTGCCCCTAGAGACAAGGATCAAGGTGGAAAGGAGACAGGTTTTGGGCCAGGAATCGCAAGCCTGTGATTCACCAGCAAAGCTTACATTTCACCTGCTCCCAAGGGCCTGTCCAATGTTACCGTGCTAATCTCACACGGTCCCGCGGCAAGACGTGGCTGGTGGGGGGGACGGGAAATGTCGAGGGACCTTTTCACAAGTGGGTGCACAGTCTACAGGGAGGAGATTGGGGGGAAAAATAGAAGACGGCGTGAAAATGCCATTGACAGAGGAGGGAGCAAGATTGTGCAGGCCGGCACTGTTTTGTTGTCACGGATAATTAAAATGAGCCCTCCTCCCCAGCCTTTCGTGCTTGCTCCATCCAAGATACCGCAGCCCCGTTGCTCGGAGTGTCTTTTCTTGTCACCGCTTTCACAGCACTAATTTTGAAAGCTGCCCAGGAGAGAGGAGATGATGCACGATCCAGTCATGGGACTGACTCATCACGTTGCTGATGTGTCTGCGGATTAATTACCAGACCCGGGAAGGAGACGCAGAGCCTGTGCATGCGTGTGTGAGAAGGGGAGCGGGCACTGATGGTTTAAAGACCAAACGTGGCTTGTCGTGGGTCATTGACTCGGGGGAGTGCTTAAGTGGAACGGCGAGGAACCCACGGTGGGCTGACCGTCACGTAGTCCGTGTGCACCGTGCGTGCCCCTCTGCCGACAAAAGGAGTCGTGACGGTGCCCCGTTTAGAGAGCATTAACTGGCGAGCTCGAGCCGTCGCAGCTCGTGCTTTTCGCTGCAGAGGTGCTCAGCTCGGTCCCTGCTGCCCAGGCCGAGGGGGCGGCTGGCACCATTGCACCCGGAGCGTTACCCGCCCGGCGGCTCGTAACGCCGAGATCTCCCTCGTCTCCACAATGTTGTCATTTCCCATCGTGGCGGGGGAGGTAGCTGGGCGACTGTTGCTCACGAGCCTATTTCTAGCATCGCTTCTCACTTTGTAAGCTATTTTTAGCCCACCCATTCTGCTTCTGTTGCCATTTATAAAGCTTCGAATGTCAAATGCAATATTAAACGAGCAGTATGGGAGCGAAGAGAAAATGCCAGCGAGGCATTTAATAAATGAAACTTGGAATTTATGTAGGAGCGAAAGATTCTCTCCACGCATTAAGGGAAGCAAAACAAAGCCAGCCCCCAAATGTGGTCTTCCTACACAAGCCAGGCTGTTTTGCAAAGAGAAATGAAGCATGTTATTTACCTAGAGGAACGGGGGATATGGTGACGGGGGCAAATTCCTTCCCTTTGCATGCACAGTTTGCCTCCAGCCCCGCTGTGCTTGGCATCGGAAAGAACCGGCAGTCCCATCCCTAGGCTTGCAGTCTAGGGCAGATCAGAAGAGTTGGAGGCAAAGAATGGGCTTTCATACGAATTAATACGTGCAACAGCTATTGGATTTGTGCTGTGCTTCCGTGTGGTCTCTCAGGTGCCCCAGCAAAGTGGCGTCTGGTCGCTTTTTGTTGGTGACGGTCCTTCGTACCCGTGCACGGACCGCTTCCATGATCCCGTGATGTTGGTGGCAGGAAGGGACTTGTCTTTTGACCTCCTGTATCTGATTGGGGGAGGGGGGCACTCCTATGGGGAAGTTCGAGCTCTTTGCTTAAACTGAAGCTTCTCGGTTCCCCGGGAACTAAACCGTGACCCAGAAATGGTGGGACTGCCACCCACATTGGGTGCCCCGGCAATGACGGGGAACAGATGAGGTGAGATATGCCTGGCAAGTCATGCTCCTTGCTGTAAGGAAGGCAACCTCCCCTGATGCATGAGAAGCGAGACCTACTCCCCTAGCTAGCAGGTACATCAAAGGCAAGCCTTTCAGAGCTGCAAACCCTGCTTCAGTCCTGACCTCAGAGGCACCTTGTCTTGGGACAAGCGGTCATTTCAGCCACAGTGAAGTGCACATCCTCCTTCCTGAGGCTCCCTTATAGGTGGCCACATTCAGATGCTTTTTCTCCAGTGGCCTCATCCAAAGCTACTGATGTTGCTGAAAGGCCCCTCGTGGACTCTGCTCATCCGTGGCTCAAGGTCTGAGTACCTAGTCACTTGTTAATACATGGGAAATGCCAACCCGAGCAGTTCGGCGGATTGCTCTTAACTGAGCTATGAGAACTGGCAGCCAGAGGCGAATAACCATGCCCCTTGGTCCTCATCGCTGCAGCAATGCGCGCTTGTGTTGATGACAGCAGCCTGCCCTGAAATGGGCTCCATTGCTGCTTAACATCCCGTGGCACTGGAGACGGGTGCATCCTTCTGGT